TGTAATCAAACATTAGTTTTACTATCTCATTTCTCTCCCTTATTTTCTTTTAGAAAACGAATACCACTTTTGATTTTATGTCCAATAAAAGCAGACATTCTATCAATTTTATGGTCCAATTAATTCTCTTGTAAAGTAATTGAACTGTGAAATTAAAAGTTAGCAAAGATAAGCAACCAATAAAATATCGCAAGACGCGAGTGGTGGGACAGTTAAATGGCATCACAAATATTGACTTTGCGGTTCTCCGGAGTTTTCCCGAGTTGTCGACCGGGCCGGGAGCGGGAGCCGGCTGGCGTGAAGCCAACCAACCTAGCCATTTGTGTACCTACACTACACTCAACCCCGAGACGTGTTATGGAAATTTTCTTAATTTCACAGCCCTATAGATAGTGCTCTGTAGATACGAACAACCGTTAATCTTCATTGGCAATTTATATGTAAAGATGTTACGCCCCCACGGTGTCGTTTAATCTATTATTGTCGCTGAACACAATGTATTGGAGCAATTTTTACTACTTACGTACTCCATTTGTATTCAAAAAGTAAACATACAAAAACAAATACTTTGCCTAAACAAGTTGCGAGTATTTTAATTAATTACTAAGGTACTTTATAAATTGAATACTGCTGCAATCGGAAAGTTGTCGGGTTATGAAATACGAGGAGAATATTAATTAAAAGTTAAGTTTCTCATTCTCGTAGAGAAATTACTTCTAAGTAAAAAGTGGTTTCGCGGGCGGATAATACCACAATGTGTTATTACAGACTGAGTTAATCCGCTTTTGTTATGAGTTCTGAAAGGATTTATCGGGCTTTGTGTCTTTTCTTACATTCTTCGGCTCAATACCACCACTGAGAGTCAATCAGTGCGATAGCTATAATAAACACAGCCGGTAAATTAGTTTTCTTTGAGGGATTATTTTCTCCTTTAGAATTGAATATAGTTACTGAAGGTTGACGATGAAAGCTACAAGGTTTTTTTCTCTTTATTAAAGTGCTCTCGTCTTCACTAATGAACAAGTTCCTGGCTTAACACGAAGGCCGCCATACGAGGTTATTCAGGCCCAGGTAAATGTTATTAGTGAAAGCTTTCGTCTTAGCGCCGTGTAACCGCCTTAATGACGTCAATTTGAATACGACCGACTTGTCGGCTACACTTCACTCCACGGTAATGTAAATTTCCCGCTCGTGTCAGCTTCGAAAGCCATAGTTTCCTAGTATTATTTGACACCGAAAATGGGCTGTCAATCAGGGGACGATTGTATCGAACTGATCCGAATGAGCAATTTGGCGATCAGGCAACTTGAGCGTTAATTTATGTATTGCTCGGTGTAACCTTGCGATTAATGGATGTGGGATTTCGAACTGGGAACGAACGTTATTTGAATATCGGTTTTAAATGTCAGTACAATTATCGTGTGTCGTTGTATCATTGGATATGAAAATAGGTTGAAAGGCCGCGAGGGACCGGCGCGACCCTTCGGCTTACATACATAATTACTGATGTCAGGACTCTGATTTTGTTTGATTATACGTGTTGGTATATATTCAGAGTGCGTGTTAAATGCGGGATTTGTGCCTCGAATTTAGGCCAGCTAATTACCCTTTTCAATTTCCTACTTTTTCGATTCAAAGAGCCGGCGTTAATACTTTAATCAATGAGATTAAAGTATTAACGCCTAAATCATCGTCGTTCCAGGCAGCCGTTGTGTTAAAACCACATTAACTTTTAATGTTCCTGAAACCATCTTTCAGCAGGTCATCTTTTATGAACCGTAACCATTTCGGTAATATACCCCATAAACTTTTTATTATAAAAAGTATTTCCGTGTTTATACTAACAAGAAAGAAATGGGATAAGTTGACATTCTTTTGAGCTTTGTTTTGATAAGTTTTCATGGTGATGTATCTCGCTTTTGCATTTTTTCATTATACTTTATACATTCTATCATACTTCCAGTTGCTTAGAGAGTATCTAGCTGTCTGCCACTGTTGTTATAGGAACATTTATAAAATAAACATTAACACAATTGGTCCTGAAACTCCTTGTTGAAAAAATAGTATCCATATATAGTTCCAATTACAAATTGGGATAAGCCTAGAAGAAATAAACATATTTATTAAAAAAAAAACAAATCAACGTAACAATTATTTCTATACAAATCAAATATAGAATTACAGTTTTTCTTTATGTGAAAGGACGGCAAACGAGCTCACAGATTTCCTGATGGTAAGCAATCACCGCCGTCTATGGAAACCCCGCAACAACGAGGAATAAGGAGTACGTTACCGGCCTTCTGGTGATTAGGGTTTTAGAGATTTAGGAAATGGGGGAGGGGAAGATGGGGCCTCCAGTAACCTCAGTCATTTGGCGAAACACAGCGTTGTGTCTATTTCACGCTAGTTTTCTGTGAGGCCGTGGCATCATTCTGGTCGAGCCGACACTTTCTTGCCGAATCTTGGCTAACCCAAATTTATTATTGAATACAATATAACATAGCACACACACTCACACATAATAATAGTTCTACAATGCAAAGAGAGTCACGTACCTACCTAAGGTCCATAATTTATTAATGGGTCACCCGATAATTAACTGCTGCTAACCGCCGACTAATTGCGCGTATTGAACTGGTTACATATAGGCATATATACACATATGTACCAAGCTAACTACATAAGTTTAGAGCGGTTTAGGAAGTAGAAGTACCTCTTTTGGTTTCTTTTAAATTACCACCCAAAGTTTGTCTGGAAGAAGTCACCCTGTGTGGTAACTAATTGTACAATCTATACTTATAACCCTGTTCTTTGTTGATTTTATGATTATGTGTGTGCAATAAAGTGTAAATGAATTCCTTTCGTAGGTCTGTTTGTTATTCCAATTGTACAAAAATACTGGAGTTGAGAGAGTTAAATCAAGCTTGTAAAAATACAGTACACTATTATTTCAACTAAACATTTATAAAATTATTTTCCTAAGTAATGTGGGGCATCTGTATCCGGTGCCCTCACCAAGCGACTCCCAGGGCTCGCTTGAATTTTCCGACCTTATCTTCTTTCCCTTATCAAAATTTTGATGACACGCATCCAAGTTACCATGGTAGGTACATTTTCCCCTTAACTAGACCATAAACGTTGCCCTCTTTTCTACTAAAGATCATTTGATAAGATTACTGGATACGAGGACGCTCCCAAAAGACCCTTTTAAAAAGATACGTGACGCAAACAAAAAGATCGGACCACAACAGCGCCTTACAAAGCGACATAATCGAATCATACCTGCACTACGTGAGCATTCGATGGACAAGAATTACATTCTTCCTTTTACTCACAGCAAATATATTTTGTATTAAAGGAAATGGAAAAAAAAAAACGAACTTTTTCCTCCGACCGACCTAACGTGCGATACGCCGTAAATAACGCTACAGATACCTATCGAGTTTTATAGCGCGGCTAAATGGGCATTAAAAAAGGAAATTTGTTCGAGAACATACTATAGCTACCAAAAAGTTCGTACGCTTTAATATTTACTGCCTTTTGTTTCTGTCGTGTGAAATAATCCTATTAAAAAAATAAAATAGGTTGGTGATGTGTGCGCTCAAGAAACTAAAGCGGCCCGCTCCAGAACGATTCTTAGAAAAGTCAGGCCGGCTTCTGTATAATAGGACGCCCTAATAAACCGCAGAACGCCTCCCGGCTGCGCTCGCAAGCCGTCGGACGTAAACGTAAATTTATGATATCGTTTAAATGGAACATCGTGAACGAACTCTGTAATTCATGCAGCCTTGCTTCCTTCTCGATTACCTGAAATACGTGAGAGCTTAGCTGGGCTATTCTTAGAGATATCTACAACTTAGATAGATAAGAAAATACAAAGAAAATGTGCGATAAAATATAACACACAAAAGCGTCTGTTTGGTACAGTTACATTATAATGTAGGCACATTATCGCCGCGTGTTTTGACACAACTTGTTTTTGTTCTCGAACTTTCACAACAAACTTCATGTTCTGTTCAGTGGGTACAAAAGAAAGATTCTTTATTCACTTAGTTGAGTTTACCTAATGTTCATAATTAAGTGGATCTCTTAGAGGCTTTGTTTCTTTGCTTAACCGAGTCGAGGTTGTGGTTCGGTGAGTTAAAACATTTTACGTAGTAACTTTATTTTAAACTACTGTAAACAAGAAAAATTGTGGAAATCTTTCTTGGTCTATTCTGTAAAAAAACGTAAACGTACCTAATCGGATTTTTTATTACTAGTAAGTATTACGCCGACTCAAGTATGACATCAATTAAATGATACTATGAACTTTATAATTAACGTTGGCGAAAACCCATTCAGCACATGTTTCATACTAATCATAAGTCAAGGAATGCGTATGTATGATATTTGTAGCTAATTTTACACCCCTACGCAAACGTTAATAGAGCTTATTTCAATATACTTGATTGTCGAGTAAGTAGGCATGTATACCAGGTTTCTTTGTTTTACAAAATTAATTTAATTTTCGCCAGAAAACCACTTTCACTCTGAACACGTCACAACAAACTGGAAATTCCGAAAATTGTTTACTTCAGTACTCCTGTCAATATTTCACAATATTAATGGCTTGATGAAATATTGTACCAAAACATCGAGGGTAACGTTAATTTCGTTTTACGCTGTTTTGAAAGAATTCTTCTAACATTTTTATTAAGTATTTGCTGTAAAGACCGCACACACTTTAAGTGTCAATCGGTGCGAGATTAAATAAATATGCCAAACACAGTCAACAGGCCGGAAATTTGTAAAGAACATACTTTTAGGGGTTTTATTTCTGTGGTTTGAGTCTTTCTTGATTTGTCTTTAATTCTCCTTACTTAGATAGCTGCTGATTTGTTTTTACTCCCATAGGTATTATTAAACAATTCCCTACAATATGTGTAACATGCTATATATACAATACGATGTTTATAAACGAATAATATGAACTAATAAACATGTTTTTTGTCAAACAGTGGATACAACAGCGCAGTACGATGCTGTACGCGCCTACCTCAAGGAGTTGGACATTTCGAGCGCGGTGTGGGTCGGTCTAATCCGAAGTAACCCTGACGGGGACTTTACTTGGACGTAAGTTATTTAATTCAACATTATTAAATGTTCTGTCCGCTGATTTAGCAACAGAAAAGTAAAATTTTCGTAGTCTTTTTTATGCCATAGGACGACAAACGATCAGACGGATCTGACCTGATGGTAAGCAATCAGCGCCACCCATGGACACTCGTAACGATAAAGGAGTTACGAATTTTTGGCGATTAAGGATATGGAGTTTTTAATATTGGGGAGGTATTGAGGGAGGGGAAGGATTGGGCCTCCGGTAACCTTACTCACACGGCGAAACACACCGCTGTAGTTGTTACATGGGTTTTCTGTGAGGCCATGGTATCACTCCGATTGAGCCGACCCATTCATTCAATTTACTCAAATGTGATTTATATTCGTATTTTATACTTATCATAATTAATAATAAGTCTTTTCCTATACAAATTGAAGCTAGCCTCTGACTGATTTGTTTTAACGATGCCTTCTTGTTTCACAAGACTAGAACCACTAGACTAATCAGTACTCTCTCTCTTCTACCCAGTGATTACCGAGGCCTGAGCGGCGAAGGTTACTGGAGTTCAGCGCCCGACGCACGCGCAGCACCTCTCTGCGCAGCCGCCGACCCTGCTGCCGACTACCGCTGGGAGGCCCGCGCTTGTGGTGGACCAACTGTCGCTTCTTTCATCTGCGAACTTCCAGGTATGTTAAAATTATTTCTGCTTTGCACAAGGTTTAATTTTTTTTAATGAATATTCCCATTAGATAGTTTAAATAAACTTGCCTATTTGTTAAAACATGAACACCTAGAAGAATGCTATGAGAGTTGTCTTTCTTTTTCTTTCTTAAAATAAAAAAAGGATATGTTTTAGTATTTAAGAGGAGTGTAACCAACTAACTTAAAGTTTATCTTGATATCAGAATTAAATCACGTGTACTTATAAAGTAAAATAAATGACAATATCCTGGCTTATGTATCTAAATACGTATATAACTAGAGCAACATAGTTGCTTACAATCTCAACACAAATAAAGGCTTGGAGCTAAACATCTTAGTTTAGTAGTTGCTTTCTGATGTAACTTTATGATAGCTTAGAATCGTGTGCAATGTAACTACATGCATGCATGTATATTTATCAGTACTATTTACTTTGCTCGCTAGACTTTAATATAATTTCCCTTTGTACGCAGTTCCGCAATGGGCTTTAGGGAACGAAGGATGCATGGTGCGTGCTCTACCAGCATTAACGATCCTGTATCTGCCTGAGAGTGCTGCTGTCCAACTTACCGCTGATTGCGGCCTGGCTGGTGTAAAACGTGTGCAATGCACAGGCAATGTGGTAAGATGGCAAAATCTTCTCTTCTTATAAACTTCATGTTTATTCTTAAGCCATATTTCTTAGGCTCGTTTTCATTTTCCACAGAAACGTGAAGATTTACTTAGAGACTTGGCATGTGCTGAAGAAGAAGAGATAAGTAGCACTCCTAGTTTAACATCACCGGGTAATAATTGGCCAGTTTCAACTGATGCAGCTGTTACTGATAATGATATGACATCGACAGAAGTCACAACTGAAGACAATAATATCACAACTGAACATGAAGACGACATTAATCAGTCAAGTACTATTATTTCTACTTCCACAGTTCAAGATCGTAATCTCGTCACCGATCAAAAACCATCGGTCACATTTGTTAACGCAAATAAATATAACAGAGTTAATTTCGAAAAGACCCTTGATTTAGATTTAGCTCATAACAACAACTTACAAAGTAACTATATTCCGAAAATTGCCAATGGAGACAACTATGTAACAAATGAAGATTTAGAAAAAATGGAAGATGAAAAGCACATGCAGCATAAAATGTTGCACGAGGAAATAGCAAGGCTTGGAAACCTTGAAAACATATTTACACAACCTACCGATCATTTTGTTCCACCACTAGTAATGGCGAAGGCTAAAATCAGTGATGATATGACTGTTCTATCATTGCAAGAAAAACATGCCCAACAGATAGCTGAACAACATTACTATAAGCAAAGCGGTCAGTATGGACAAAATGATCACCTTTATCAGAGCAACGTTGTGAAATCAACAACGGAAGAACCAAAACCAGTGTCATCGAATAAACCATCTCAGAGTGAAATACTTAAAAATAAAGATGATTTGAAAAAAGACAAATTAAAGTCTGTTATGCCCAAAAAATACAACGAAAAATTGAATGACCCTAAAAGTAAGGCTCAGAAAGTGGTAGAAACTAAACTCTTGGAAAAATCCAAAACATCTGCTGCGCAAATAGAAACTACAGTTAAACCAAGTGAAACTACACCAATGGCACATTACAATAAAATGGATGATGAAGCCGCTATGGATTTGACTGTTTTCTTAAAAGATGAACCAGAACCTCTCGAACCAAAGATTTACTACAATAATTTCACTGGTGACGTGTCTAAATTAGAAGTGATCAAAAACAGTTCATACAATAATGATACTGAAATTAAATTAGTGGACATAGAAGCTACAGAGGAAATAAAGCACGAAGAACGTCCTATTAAGAAATTTGAAGAAACTACTCAAAATATTACATTAAATCATGAGGTGATTAAAATTACAATAATTTCGGAAGGACACACGACTGAGAACCCTACTACATTTGAAATAACTACTAAAGTGCCTATTATTCAAGAAACTACTCATAACAATTTGGAATTAACCAGTCACAAAGAATTAGTCGATGATCTTCAAAACAAAAGTGAAGTGTTTCCAACGACGCAACCTGAGATTGAAGTAACACAACATGAATTTGAATCGCTTGGAAATGTTTCAAGCATTGCTGATGTTATGGAGGCTACAAATGAGACAGTCGCACTGAGTCATACCGAATCGACTGAAAACACACCCACTACAACTAACGAAGTGCCTACTACTACTACAGCTCAAGCTAATTCTAATATTTCTCAAAGCAAAAAACCTGAAGGGTCTTCGACGCCTGCACCCTTAGTTACTGAGCACACATTGAAAAATGAACCTTACAACGATGAAATACATGAAGAATTTGGTGCAATGACTAATTCATCAGACGGGATTGATGATTTCCAATCGCCATTACTTTCGGGTGCGAACGAACCAGCTCACCGACCGAATAGGTCCAGGAGGCCACAGCAGCCGAATCGAAATAAATTTAATCCATTTCGCATATTAGGTTAGGTAAACAATATCATATACATACGTCAATAACTATTGAATGAATTACTGGTGATGACTGAAACAAACCGTAACATCTATCGTAATTAGATATAGTGAGTCACAGTCACATTATAAATTGTGATGGCACGGTGCACGTAGTTCATTATATTGTTATGTTCAAACGTTTTCGTAAATAATATAGGAGGGATGAAAATCATAATCACAAACAAGAACATTATGAATGTCAGTTCGGGTACGGATTTCCGTTATTACCAAGTTACATCAATAGCTAACCTTTGTAGTTTCGTAACATGTTTACTCATACTCTAATATGTTTACATGTAGCACTTTATTTTTAAATGTATTTAAATATTTTTTAGATTAGACTCATAATGTATCTAGTCTATAACTTAGTCAATTCATGTTTTGATAGCATAGCTATTTAATAAACTTGTTTTTATAGTATCGGTAAGGTACCCATAGATTTCAGGTTTGCCAAATTTCGAATATCTTCATGTTAGTACATTAGTACCCTAACTATATGAACACTGGTTTAGTTTCACTATAGAAGTAGTTTCATAGGCGCCATTGATACATTCATACTTACACAGTAGGTTAGCTCGTTAACGATTAATGCAAACGAAATTCACAAACCATATCATGTTAGTAATAAGGTTTAGTTTAGTGAAATTTATTTTTTATGAACCTTAAGGTACATAGTAAGATGATGCACAAACGAGTCAACGACAAAGGTCCACACAACTTGACTTGGAATACGATCCAAACAAACCCAGAAATACTCAAACAACTGTATGTGACTGTGGATCCTTTGTAATATTTTTTTTATAATTATGTAGTCTCCAAACGTATGTAATAAGATTTTTTAATAAAAATGATAAAATAATTATTGTCTGTTTAATTTAACTACTTAAATAACCTTATTCAATATATTTTGTGCAATGAAAAAAGGAGAGACGATGCTTTGTGCAGCAAGAATAAGTGTCGTTAACACTACAATTAAGTAAAAATGGTTGAAACGATCAAATACTAATTGAATTTGATCTACCCTTGATTTTTTATTTACCCTTTTCTATATTCATATTTCTATCCTTATCTATTTTATCCGATATGACCTCAAGGCTAAAGGGCAACCGTTAAACGCTTGCTGGAACTGGGTTCATCAGTAAATCCGAGAGGCGAAAGGCTAGTCTATTAAAAGTTTTTACTTTCCGAAAGGCATTAATATGAAAGTTCTAGCTCGATATAAGACTGCGGGGAAAATTCGTAAGTTTCGAGAGACTCAACCGCAGTCAATATTTGCCGAGCGCTTTGCCGCCACCTCACTCAACTTGCTCGCTCTTCAAGGGCCCAACTCCAACTCAATTTTCTCTTCGAGACCGTTTATCAATATTACTTATATCAACTTCGATAAAATTCTCAGCTTCGGCACAATTCACTTTGGGTATATTTTCCTTCGTCATCTCTCACAATATAAGTTTTTCATTCCGTCCCCGATTCCTCCCTCCCAATCGTATTTAATCTGGTATTGCGAAATCGTGTAGGTGACTTCCGAAATAGAAGAAACCCGAGTTCAATGAAATACATGTACCTGTGGGCAAGGTGAAATCGAAAACGTGATTAATTTTGAGGGATCTAAGCCGTATTCATGAGAAAAGTTGCTAAGGTATTTTATTTAAGCCGTAATATCATTCTACGGGATCATCCGGTTGAATAATAATACGAACTTTGAATGTACTATAGGCTTTATTTTGCCCTTATGTATTGTCACTTAGAGGGAGGAATCCCATTTAGAATCCGGGCCAAACAATAAGCAAATAGTTGATAAACTTAGTATCTATTTACATGACAACAATAAACGGGAGACAATATGAAATTTTAACCTTAATATTTGATACAATTTTCACGAGGATTATGTTTTCTTAGTAACATTAAATACATTTGTACAATGAATTTCACGATGCGGTCTGTAAGAGAAACTTAAGCTGCATTGTCTCTGCATGAAACTGCACCACATGGCGACAAAACGTAAGTATCTGTTGGTGTAAGGCTTATTAAAGGAACCCTGACACAGAGTTGTAAAACAATTTAATGCATAGCTTTTATTTTTAATCAAATAAATAAATAAAATACAAATAAAAATTTTGTGTGAAAATGTTATTCTAGAATATACACTTTCGCTTAAAGCTATAATCAGTTAGAATATTAGGCGCTTGTACTAGGAAATCCTGTATTTCAGGCGAAAAAAAATGGTTTACAATGTTAAATAATCATAGGTAGGCACATACTTGTTTTTAAAGTACAGGAAAAAATGTGACTACTTATGTTAAAAGTACTTATGAACTTTAAATTTCACAATATCACATAGTGTACCATGTCATCTGAAACGAAAAACATAGAAACATATCTTTTTTTTTGTGTAATAGGTCGGCAAACGGGCAGAAGGATTACCTGATGGTAAGCAATCAGCGCCGCCCATGGACACCCGCAACGGAGGAGTTACGAGTGCGTTGCCGACCTTTAAGGGATTAGGGATTTGGAGATTTAGGAACTGGGGAGGGATTGGGAAGGGAAAGGATTGGGCCTCCGGTAACCTCACTCACACGGCGAAACACAACACTGTGGTTGTTTCACGCCGGTTTTCTGTGAGGCCGTGGTATCACTCCGGTCGATATCTTTGCTATTTAGAAAGAAAAAAATAATAAGACAGATTCGATACCTTTATTAAACAAAGGATACATTAGATATCTCAAGACAGAAAACCTTTACCTACTTCATATTTAGCGTGGTAAATACCATTCCATTACAACGTAAGTTATTCAAAGGATTAGACATATAGAATTAGGAAATTGGTAACTATGGCCAAAGTCACGACTAACTTAGTTCTGTTTGTGGCGAAGCTCCGGCCTTTAGAAGTTCTAGCTAACTGTATGTATCTCTCTATATGGTATTGGCTCAGTTGAATATATAAATCAACATTACTTATAAAAAAGTCTTTTCGTTTCAGAATAGAATAGAATAGAATAGAATAGAATAAGACTTTATTTGCTAAGAATGCAGGTACATACAAATAGGATCGAAAATAACATAATAAAGAACCGTGTACATTCTACCTTGTTGGCATGCAAATACAATACCTAATTATTATACAACTGAGTTAAATAAGGCAAAAAGGTGATTAAAATGTATCATTTAAGAAATCCTGAACAGAATAATAGCATTTGTCTACAAGTAACAATGTAAAACATTTTTTAAACTTCATCAATGGCAAGGTTTTCATGTGATCAGGAATTTTATTAAAGATAACAGGAGCCATACATATCACACTTTTTTTTAGTAAGCTAGTTTTAAATGTGCCTGTGCACAGTAAGTATTTCTGATATTGTGATCTTAATGATGTACTTCGTTTTCTAGTTTCTGTTAATGTTGCAAATAAATTACGGTTAGTTTTAACAAATATTGCTAATTCGAGGATATAAAGGCATGGGAAAGTTAGTAATTTCTGCGACTTAAATATAGGGACACAACTGTCAGTAACTTTGAGGCCAAATATAGCTCTCAAACAGCGCTTTTGGGCTTTAAAAATACTTTCTCGTTCACTACAGTAACCCCAAAATATTACACCAAACCTTAAAATAGAAATCACAAGACCGTGGTAGGCCACCAATATTGTTGACAGATTTACTTTTTTGGATAGATTGTATAACATAAACGCGGCTGTACTTAAACGTTTACAGATATCTTCTGCTTGCGGCTTCCATGTTAACTGGCTATCAATTAGGATACCTAAAAATTTTGTGCTATTCACTTTATCGATAGTTTGGCCATTGTAGTTGATATCCATGTCACCTGTGGTCATTCGTTGGTAGAAATGCAAAGTTTTAGTTTTTTGAAGATTTATAACTAAGTTATTATTATGAAGCCATGTTATTAATCTGCTGATTGAGTTATTGATGTCATTTATGTAGGAGTCTTTATTGATACATGAAACAATTGAAGTACTGTCGTCTGCAAATAAAACTATTGGATTAGATATATGACGTGGCAGGTCATTAATATATAATAGGAAAAGTAAAGGTCCGAGGACACTTCCCTGCGGGACTCCATATTTTATTTCTTTGAATGACGACAAAGATTTTATTTCCTTCTTAGATTTTAAAAACAGGCTTGATATATCTGTACATTGTCTACGGCCTTTGAGGTAAGTTTTTATTAAGTTTAAAGCATTGCCACGAATACCATACGCATCTAGTTTGGTTAAAAGAATATCGTGGTCCACGCAGTCAAAAGCTTTTGACATATCGGCATATATTGCACATACCGGTATTTTGGAATCTACTTTAGGCAATATTTCATGGAGAAAATCGAAGATGGCCATGTTGATATTTTTGTTTTTCCTGAAGCCCTTTTGTTCATTACATAGTATGTGGTATTTAGTTAGGAAGCTGTCAAGAGATTCATAGATGATTTTCTCTATAATCTTTGAGAATATAGAAATAAGAGCAATTGGCCTATAATTTACCATTTCATATTTATCATTTTTTTTATATACTGGTATTACTTTTACGGTTTTGAGACTTTCTGGGAATACGCCAGACTCTATGCTTACATTAATAATGTGAGCAAAAGGCTCAGCTATGCAATGTGCAACAAATTTGATAACTGTGGTTGAAATGCCATCAAGGCCAGAGCTCTTTTTATTTTTTAGGTTTTTAATTATACGTATTACATCTTGGGGTATAACTGGGGCTATAAATATCGAATGCGGGTTTATACTTAAGTAAGTGGTATCGCGTAACGTATTATTAGATATGCCAGAGGTTTGTTCAATGAAAAAGTTATTAAAAGATTCAGCTATTAAATTAGGGTTTGATATTATTTCATCTCCTGTTTTTATTTGAGAAATGGGTTCTCTTACGATTTTATTATTATTAATTATTTGCCAGGCCGTTTTGGATTTATTTTTTGAGTTATTGATTAAGTTATTATTCTGAGCTTTTTGCGTAAGTTTAATAATTTTCTTAAACCTCCTTGAGTAAATTTTAAATTTATTTTTGTTTTCGCATGTCGGTTTTTGTCTCTGTTGCCACAACAGTTGTCGTTGTTTTTTGCTACATATTCGTATACCTCGAGAGACCCATTTTATTTTTTTC